TTTCTTCGGGTTCGGCAAAGTAGAACTCGCAACGAAAGTTACGTCTTCGTCCTGAAAGTCTCGCTGCCCGCGATTCTTATTTTAACCTCTTTTCTCCTTTTCTATTGTTCACACATACACACATCACGATGGAATTATACCCACGTAAAGTCCTACTCTGTGCGCATCGCAACTGCTCGAAGTGTATAGAGCTATAGACTTTTAATCCTTGCACTTGGACGTCGGTGTTAGGTGAATAATATTTTGTATTGTTGTAATCTATAGTTACTACACTCGAGAAACTCAACGAGTATGTTATAAATGCATACTGACGTGTGAAATCTCAACGAGTGCTCTCATATGATTCGATAGAACGTTGTTAAAAGGATTATAGCGCAATTCTGAATTCCAGAACTGGATATACATATAATCAAATACATTTAACTCATATAAATATTATAAATAGGATTATATTTTATTTTTCGTTCTTTTTCCATTTTAAACAGAATTATTTTTTATTTTGTTTTTTACCTATTTCTTGTATCTTGAAATATTGTCTGATAACTTCCTGGTGTTTGAAGTGACTCTCGAGAAACATCGCAGTGATGTTTTTTTTATTTAAAATATATTTTTATATTTTAATTAGTTCTGGAATTAAGAATGATATCCGACAAAGAATTCGGGAATCTCGCATCTTCTCGATCCTTTGTTCATACGTTTCCCTGAAGTTGTTCTAAATTCTAACGACGGGAAAACACGGAAAATTCTAAAAGAAAAAAAGAGAAAATTTTGCGAAAAAATGAGAAAGAGAAAAAGAGCACTCAAAGGATTTTAACATCCGTTCGTAAGTAGTACGTTTTCGAATATAGTTAATAAAGCGTCGGGGCGAAGAGTATTTTTTCTAGGAATGTTAGTGGACCAGGCAGAGCAGGAACATTAATATCGTAAAACCGCGGCAAATTCATAATTTATAAATTGCAGGAAAATCCAAAAAAAAAAAGAAAGAATGCAAAACCGAAGCTGTAAGTGACGAAGGAAAATTACGTGTACGGAAAAAAATGTCGGCCATCGACTAAGGGGAGAGCAGTGGGACTTGTGAGGCAGTCAAATGAAACTTGAATGATAGTATAAATGCAGAGTTTGCGTAGGTAGTAAAAACTTTTTTTAGACGTCCTGGAGAGAAGAGGAAGTGGATGAAAATAAGAGAGAGAGAGAGAGAGAGAGAGAGAGAGAGAGAGAGAGAGAGAGAGAGAGAGTGTGTGTGTATGTAAATGAAAAAAGGAGAGAAATAGAATGAGGAAGAGAAAGAAAGAGTGAAAAAGGGTGTACGTAAGAATGAAAGTAAAAGGCTAAAAAAGGAAAGATGTAGACAGTATGTAAAAGTGAGGGAGAGAAAGAGAAAGAATGACGAGAAGTTGAGAAAGAGAGGCATTAACAGAGATAGGAAAACAATATGAAAACGATAATATTATAAGCAACAAGAAGTGCTTTTATGAAATACAATATTATTTATACCATCCTGATGACGTATATATATATATGCATATATATATATCTATAAATATATATATCTATATCTATATACACATTATATCTATATATGGTAAGTGATAATGTAAGAGAGAGGAATGTGTATTATGTAACAACAAGGTATAGATAAGTATATTAATTATATGACAAATACACACATATAAGTATACATATAAATATACACATATATATTAAAAATTATGACCTATTATGACTATGATATTATTAATATTGTAATAATTCGTAGTATTATATTGTGACTAGTAAGCATTAAGTAATAAAGGTTGTCCTGTATGTGAACATGAGTATGTATAATGTCAAATATGACAGAGGAAGAAACCTTGATACTTCCCTTTCTGTACTTCTTTTCCAGGTTTACTTTCTTATTACAATCAACATTTTTCAAATTAAACAATATTTTAGTTCAGTTTGCATTATATATTCCTTTTATTTTTATGGATTATTACGAAAGATTTATTAAAATAAGTATGAAGCTGTGAAGGTAAGTGCAATGTTAATTAAAAGTTCGTTATTTATAGTTTATATTAAAATTTAATTTTTCCTTTTGTGTGACTAGTCACAGTCAGTTTAGCCCGATTGGCTTTACTGGTAATTAAATAACATAAATAATTATATTCGGTTACATATAATTGTTGATTGTTATAAAAGCAGATGTGTCATGATATAAATTATCATTTTTGCATCTCTATCGGTCTTATATTAAGCAGCATTTCTAATTAGATTTTAAAGTGTATAGCTTAAGTTTGAAGCATTAAAAAAATTGGTTTATGCATGAATATATACATAGAAACATGTATAAATATTTATAAACATATACATATATCTCTGATTATATAAAAAAAATGTTGAGAGGGTTCCTTTTGTCTACAGCTCGATTGCCTACAGATTGATTGCCTACAAGCACAAATATAAAACTAAGGTTAAGTAAGAAACTATGTGATTTATATTTTTAAAGCAGAGAATTTGTTGAAAAACAGAGAATTTGTGTTTTTAAAACAAAATTTGTATTTTTAAATAAAATTTATGTTTTTATAGCAGAGAATAGTAGAATAGATGTAGGCACATACCATACAAAATCGAATTTTTTTTGTTCTTTCTTTTGATGTTGAATAATAAATTTGAATTGTGAGATTGCACCAGGGAATGGAAGTAACTCGTTACTTGTAACGAAGTTACAGTTATAAGTTACTTTTTTGGTAACTTTACTGGTAACTGCGTTACTTTCTTTTTTTGGTAACTGTAACGATAACGAGTTACATTTTTTGGGTAACGGTAACGAAATTTACAGTTACTTTTGTCGTTACTTTGCACACGATTGAACACGGTTCGATTGGATACATGCTATTTATAGCGCTTATCAATAAGACTTGAAAGCCCTTAGACATTCGGCCGTCATGATTCAGTAATTATTTTACACTTCTATCTTCTATGTATAATACATAGGACATACAAATATTTTAGTTTGCTGCATATTTTACAGGTTTTAGAATTACAAAATTGTGTTTAAAAAAATTAAAAAATAAATTAAATAATAGTAAAATGAGAAGGGCTACGACCCCAAAGGCGAAACAGTTTAAAAGACGATGACAATAAGTGTCGAAACGTCGCTTGTTTTTATCTTATTTTATCCATGTTATTGTTCTAATATATATTTATACATTTAATTACATTGTCATCGTTGTTCTTATCGGAAATAAACTGTTTCATTTTTGGCTCGTAACCCTTCTCATTTTACTTTTATTTAATTTATTATTTGAGCCATTCTACATTGTTTTTTTTTTTTTAAATAAAACTATATATTTGTCAGTATTATATATAAAAAAAAATGCAAAAGTACATTTTTTAATTGATTTTAAAAAAGTAACGGAAAAGTAACGAAAAGTTATTTTTCAAGTAACGGTAACTGTAACGAGTACTTTTAAAAAGCGATAACTGTAACTGTAACTAGTTACTTTTAAAAAGTAACTTTCCATTCCCTGGATTGCACTTTGTACAACAATAAAGCTACAGAATTTTTATTTATATAGTACGATTAGATATGATTTTATATTATATTTGCCGACATATAGGTATATCTATAATATAAATATTAATACTTTTTTTCGAAATAAATAGATGCTCTTGTCCACGTTACATCGTTTTAAACTAATATTAATTGTTTTATTACAATTAATATTACATCTTTCTGTAAATTTATTACCATCAAAAGCTTTATATTTAAAATGTTTTATCACTTTGTTCAACAATTGGTTCATGTCCATTAACTAGTACATTTACCTTATATGTAGAAATAAAAGAATATAAGAAGAAAACTGTATATCATGTATGTGTCTCTTTGCTTGTATATATTTCTGTTTTTCCTGTGCGAACAACTGTAACAGGTTCGCGGAAATGTTTTTCTGAATTTTAATATCTTTTCTACGAACTCTTTAATTATTCAATACACGTAATCTTATGCAGCTAGGACGCAATTGCTATATCATGAATATGTCCTGACGTTCGGGCTCCATCACGGGCTTCGCATGGAGAACCGCTGGCGCGCGGCGCGGTGAACTCAATGTAAACAAAGCGCGAAGAGTTTATTTCAGCAAGCGTCTCACTCGCGCGTAGAGGTTTTCCGTGTGGAGCCCGTGACCGAAGCCGAACGTCCGGACTCTAATCATGAATAAATATTTTTAAATAATTACTGATATAATAGATATGATACTGATATCTGAGAATTTTTGTATTTAAACGCTGGCTTATACATAAGTTAAAACGCGGTTACGCATAAAATTGTAATCGTTCAGAATTCGCATAAAACTCTTAATCAAAGAAATATACATATAAATAGGATATTAATTAAAATTACGTAAAAAAACGTATAATATTAACAATATTGCAGTAAAGTAAGTTAAAAATTTTTGAATTTGTTTTCAATCAGGAAGGTCAATGTTAACAATGTTTCTAATGACTGTATCTCTAATATGAAATATAATTAACTCTATATCTCTCAGCTGAATTATATAAATTAACGAAGACCATACTTTTTTAAATTTGTTAATAAAACAAAATTGTGATAATATTTCCGATACAAGCTCGGCTTGTTTCGATGTAGACAAGTGCGATATCTATTTCTCCTTGCAAATTTTTAATTTTGTTTTATTCTGCTATCAACTAATCTTGGAGATAAGATCGTTAGCGAAAACAGAGAGAAAGAGGGAGAGATTCCAGAAAGAAACACAAGGACGCATTATTAAATATAAAGCAATAAACTGAGTTCGTTCGTACTCGATCAGGTTGCACAATCTTGCGTGAGCCACGTGTGCAATGTTACGTCATTTTCATAGCGTTGCAAGTACAACACCAATCGTCTCGTACTTCGGAGCAATTCGTTCTTCTGTGATGACCGATGTCGCGCGAGCACAAGTTGGTGAGCGGTATATAATAACGAAGGGCCTTTACTATTGTGATCAGTGAAGTGATACATAATGACGGAGAATAAAATGTCTATTCGGTCTCCCGAAGGTATGTACAATTTTTGAATAAGATCCTTATGACATTAAAGTTTTCTTGCAGTTTTAACCGTTGAGAAAAAAAATGATAAAATTACTTTTTTTTAATTTTTGTGTAACAATTTTTCCACCCTGTGCTTTAATTTTCAATAATTTTCGTTGCTATATATCGCCCATGCTGTTTTCTTTTTTAAATTAATTTACTTTTCTTTATTATTTAATTTTATTTAATAATAATTGAATTATTATTTTGATTATGTTTTATACCGGCGATACGATGAGATAAATATAATTATAATAAGCCTTATAATTA